AAAAAAAACTAACTGTGTTTTCTATTTCATAAAGCATGTGCAAAATTGTTGTTATTATGATGACAGAGTAAATGAGATCTTTTTATGACTCTTGAGACGTATCTTAGTACCATTCTTAATAAGGTCTATCATAATACTTCTTGAAATATTCAGGTTTACAAACTCTCGCATTACTATCCCTTAATTCTGATCATATACTCATTTAACATGTATTCTTAAACCTTAATTTACACACACACACTTTAACATATGATTGTGGGTTGCAGATTGGATTATTACATTATTTATGCTCTTTTGTTAAAGGTAACAACTAAGGGAAAGGGATAATATATAATTTAAAAAAAAAAGGCAAAAAAAATGATGATAATAAAAATGTAGATAAGTTTGGTTTCGTAGCCTCCCTAACCTAAGCAATAAAGCCCGAAGGGGTGTATTAAGCCCGAAGGGGAGCAATTAAGCCCGAAGGGGAGCTTTAACACCTAATACCCTAAAGTCAACTCACTTGGGAGCTATTGGCCCAATGCTTGCTATATGGGTTGAGGAGAAAAGCTTAAGGGAATCAAACATTGCACTATCTACCTATCAGTATCTGTGACCCGAGTTACTAAGCTCGTAGGGGTGTCTTAACACCTAATGCCCTAAGACCAACTGGTCTGGGAGTCATTAGCCGAAAGCTCGTTACGTGGGTTAAAGATGCATGGTGTTTTAAGTTATATGTAAATATATTTAAAAAAAGAAAAAATAATAATAATAATCCCAACCCAAGGAAGTTAACCTTAAACATTAGAACAAAAATTTTGTTTTCTTTCAAGAAAAGCCCCATAATTATGTGTTGATATATTGAGCACAAAAGAAAGGTTTATTAATATCTTGTTAAGAGGTATTGAGCAGATATATAAATTTAATAAGAGTTTGTTTATTTGAGTAGATTAATAGAAGTTGAATGATGAATACCTTGCTTTGTGGAATTTGTAAATTGTTTTTCTATTTTAACACTTTGATTACTAGAGACTAGTAATAAGCTAGTTGGGGGGTGTGATTAGTACTTAAAAGTGCATTTTTATCAAGGTTTTATATAATCATTTTGTACTCGAAGTATCAATAACTCCTTAACTAAAGCATGTTTTATAATAATGTATCTAATAATAAAGATACCTTTAATTTATGGTAAATATTCATTTTAAATGCAGGCCTATCACATAAATGAAAGGATTGATTGATAAATTTAAGAACTGAAATTGAGAGGACAAAGAGATGACCAAACTTAGAAAAGAGATGTCGGTGCAATCCAAACCGGAACACTATTCAGTAATTAGGTCATATTTGGAGCTATAGATCTTAGATTTAGGTCTACTTTATTTGGATGGAAAGGTAAGACATAGGCCTATAACTTTCATATGGAGCCCAAGATCTAAAAATGTCATTTTCAAGTCCAAATTGTAGCAACAACAAAGAAGTCTGAATCTGTCTTCTAGCCCAAGCACTATTCAGTGTTTGGCCCATATCTGGAGTTTTAGAAGTCTAAATGAGCTGAATTTTGTACAAGAAAGCTGAGACAATTTCCTACAACTTTCATGTTTTCCAGTAGCTCCAATTTTGACATTATCAATGACGTTTTGGGCAGACAAGAGAAGATAAGGATTGTCACCAAGTCAAGAGTTGGTCACCCACTCATCAATTAGTCATCAAATCAATACTTCCTAATTTTGGCTTACAAAAGGAGGCATTTGCCATGTATTTAAGCATTTTAGTTTCTAGATCAAGATCATGCTCTTGCTTTCTCTCTTTGTATTTTTTGTAATGTTTATGCTTTGCTTTCATTAATATCAAGTTTATGCCTTTCATTTCCTTTCATTTACTTAGCTAGTTTTTATCTTATTTATGCTCTTATTTTGTTTATTTATTTTTCTTTCTTTCATTATGTCTAGCTAAGTTTATTATGTCAAGGTGAAAAGGTTACACTAATGGTGTAAGAATAAGTATAGTGTAAACGTAATATGGACTTTAATGTTTGATACTAACATGTTTTGTATTTGTTATCTTGTTCACTCTTTAATTCTTTGCTTGTTAAATGATTAATCTTGATTTATGTTGTATAACACTTGGTACAACAAATGCTTGGCACTTTCATAGCCCATACTATATGGTATAACCGACACCTGAGCTATGAAGGAACTTGATTTGTTATTAACATAAGTTATAGTCATGAATGCTTGACGAGATTTACAAGTATTAACATTAATAACATAAGATGACTAATGTAATCATGTTAACAATCTATAATCTGATTGGAACCTCCTTTGTGTGTGGTTTCCAATTGAATAATAAGAGTTTATACTATACTTGTTTGACATACCATTAGTGGAACCTCTAACCTTGACATTTGTTATTATCATTGTTTAATCCTTGCATTAATATTCCATCTCAAAGTTCTCATATTTTTCTTCTTCTTCTTCTTCTTCTTTATTATTATTATTATTATTATTATTATTATTATTGTTATTGTTATTGTTGTTGTTTATAATTGTTGTTTATAATTTGTACAATTAACCTCCCTGTGGTTCGACCCCGGTTTTGCCAGGTTATTTATTACTTCGACACTCCTACACTTGGGAGAAGACATCGATCTTTTAATCGTGTCACACCACCAATGTCATCAACCCTTTTTAGCACTGACAAACATCCAAACCCGAGGGAAGAGAGAGAAACCAAGAGAAAGAAGAAGAAAGAGGAAAGAAATTGAAACTTAAAGTGATTTAATCTCTTTCTACAAGTCGTTATGAGGCTCACCACTTGTGTAGATAGGAGACAAAAAGAAGGTGCACTATATCAAGTCAATCATATACGACAACCTTCATCAAAGCTTGGATCCATACATTGATAACTTCTTTAACATCCCAATTGCATGTTGGTCACATATTGACACTATTCACTTATTGTTCTAGTAGTTTTTAGGCTATTGCAACAACTACAAAAGGTTAATTTTGAAACCCAGATGAATCTTTGAACAATTTTAACATGTTATTGAATATTGGGTTTGTTATTTTTTTATATTTTTTTTATGGATTGCTAATTTATTGTGGATGATTGTTGTGAAATAAGGATTAGTGGTCACACTTTTATATAGCAACTAGCAACTCAAGGGTATGATGTTGCGATAATTTATTTTTCAAGGTGCAATAAGGTTGTAATCAATACCCTATGATAAGGTTGGGAGGATTTGGTTGCAATAGTTTTATTTAAGGTGTAATAGTTTGGTCTTTGTGTGAAATTTGATGTGTTGATGTTGTTTTTGAATTGTTAAGTGGTGTATAGATGTTGTTTTTGAATTGTCAAATGGGTTATGAATGTTATTTTATATTTTTTATATTAGAAGTTAATGTCATTTTTAATTTGTTATATTATATGTTGATGGCTTCAATACACAATTTTATTATGAATATTTATTTTTTAAGAATAAAAAAAATTGCATCTACGAGTTTTCATCAAATTTTTTATAAAAAAATGGCAATGTCTTTATTAAACTTTGTTTTAATGGTTAGATCAATGTGCCTCTTTTAGGGATCAACATACAACTAGGATAATGATTTTAACCCTAAAATATGTTTGATAATAAATCAATGAGTTTTCATCAAAATCTCACCAAATTGACAACATTTTGACTAAACTTGGTTTTAATGGTTACATTAACAACTCTCCTAGTTCTAGGGATCAACATAGATCAAACACATAATTTATAAAATTAAAATGAGTCCAAAAATACATCTATGATTTTTTCTTAGGTTTTCATCAAGTCAATGATATTTTGATTGAATTTGGTTTTACTAGTTAGGTCAACGAGTCTCTTAGTTTTAAGGACCAACATAGACCTAGTATAGCTTTTTGTTTACCTAAAAAAGAAATCATCTAGTTACGAGATTCCTAATTCAAAGCCCGATGTTAACTCGACTAACACTATTGACAATAAACTACTCTCAAATAAGCTAAATGATGTGTGCAAAATAAATTTAGAGAAAATGGCTAAAATAACATTTGTTTGAAATAATATGATAACAATGATTTTTTTATCTTTCTTTAGACATAATTAGCCTCTTACTTGAATCTCTAGTACCAATGAATACTTTAGGGTTCTTAGTTTTTTTAAACAGATGGGTAGTGACTCCTGACACTACTAAAAGGTTGTTGTCTTCTCCCAAGTGCAGGAGTGTCGAAGTAATAAATAACCCGGCAAGACCGGGTCGAACCACAGGAAGGTTAATTGTATAAATTATAGATGACAATAATACAACAACAATAACAATAATAATAACAACAACAACAACAACAACAATAATAATAATAACAATAATTACAATAATAATAATAATAGTAGTAGTAATAGTAATAATAATAATAATAGTAATAATAGTAGTAGTAATAGTGATAATAATAATAATAGTAATAATAATAATAGAAGAAGAAGAAAAAGAAGAAGTTGATAAGAACTTTGAGATGAAAGATTTACGTAAGGATTAAACAACGATAATAACAAATGTCAAGGTTAGAGGATCCACTAATGGTATGTCAAACAAGTATAGTATAAACTCTTATTATTCAATTGGAAACCACACACAAAGGAGGTTCCAATCAGATTATATATTGTTAACATGATTACATTAGTCATCTTATTCGATTAATGCTAATACTTATAAATCTCGTCAATCATTCATGATTATCACTTATGTTAACAACAAATCAAGTTCCTTTCATAGCTCAGGTGTCGGTTATACCATATAGTATGGGCTATGAAAGTGCCAAGCATTTGTTGTACCAAGTGTTATACAACATAAATCAAGATTAGTCATTTAACAAGCAAAGTATTAAAGAGTGAACAAGATAACAAATACAATACATGTTAGTATCAAACATTAAAGTCCATATTAAGTTTACACTATACTTATTCTTACACCATTAGTGTAACCTTAATATGGACTTTAATGTTTGTGCCTGCTGCATTAGTTTCACATAAATATAAAGTTTGTGGCTGTTGAGTGCATATTGTCCTATTTTGAACTTATTTGCTTTACATGCTGGCAGGGTGCTTGCAGATGGACATATCCCATGGGCATGTGAGGCCTTCACAAGATTGCATGGACACGACCTTTTCCTAGCCCTAGCTCTGATGTGGTAACTCGCCGACTAATTTTAATTTTAAATGTCATAATATTCCACTATAGTTGTTTCTTTTCTTCTTGTTCAGTTTCTGCTCTTATTTGTACTTGCAAGTAGATCATGTTGTTTTTAGAGCGCTTGGGGACATTTTCTCATGTTTCATTGTCCTTCAGAGTCAACAATTTTAAATAATCACTTGTTCTCATGGGATTGGCAGGTGTTGGAGATTATTTATGATCAAACTGTGGAATCATGGTCTACTTGATGCACGAACGATGAACTTGTGTAATATGATTCTCGAACAATACCAAAAGCAGGACTTGGATCCTATGAAAAACTAGAAACACGTGGTGTTTTTTGCGTGGACAAGGAGGAATAAAATTTGCTTTCCCATCTATTAATTTGTTCTTGCATTTAATTGTGGGGCACAATTGCATACCTTGCCTTTTTTCTCTGTTATTTTGTATAATGTTCCTGTTGATCAACTTAGAGGGTGTTTGGGAGGGTGGTGGCTTGTGTGATTTCTCCCAAACTCCCTCTTATCAATGTTTAATTTAAAAATTGAACTGGGGTGGCCAACTATATGAAAGAAAGAAAAATAAATAAACAAAATAAGAACATAAAAAAGATAAAACATAACTAAGTAAATGAAAGGAAATGAAAAGCATAAATTTGATATTAATGAAAGCAAAGCATAAACAATACAAAAAATACCTAAATGCATGGCAAATGCCTCCTTTTATAGGCCAAAATTGGGAACTATTGATTTGATGACTAATTGATGAGTGGGTGACCAACTCTTGACTTGATGACAATTCTTATCTTCTCTTGTCTGCCCAAAACGTCATTGATAACGTCAAAATTAGAGCCACTAAAAACATGAAAGTTGTAGGCAATTGTCTCAGCTTTGTTGTGTTAAAAATTCAGCTCATTTGGACTTCTAGAACTCCAAATATGGCCACAATACTGAACAGTGCTCGGGCTGGAGGACAGATTCGGGCTTCTTTGTTGTTGCTATAATTTGGACTTGAAAATGGCTTTTTTAGATCTTGGGCTCCATATAAAAGTTGTATGTCTATGTCTTACCTTTTAATCTATATAAAGTAGACCTAAATCTGAGATCTATAGCTGCAGATATGACCCAATTACCGAACAGTGTTCCGGTTTGGATTGCACCGACATCTTTTTTCTAATTTTGGTCATCTCTTTGCCCTTGCAATTTAAGTTCTTAAAGTCATCAATCAATCCTTTCATTTATGTGATAGGCCTGCATCTAAAATGAACATTTACCACAAATTAAAGGTATCTTATATTATTAGATATATTATTATAAAACATGCTTTAGTTAAGGAGTTATTGATACTTCAAGTGCAAAATGATGATATAAAACCATGATGAAAATACACTTTTAAGTACTAATCACACTCCCAACCAGCTTATTACTAGTCCCTAGTAATCAAAGCGTTAAAATAGAAAAACATTTTGCAAATTCCACAAAGCAAGGTATTCATCATTTAACTTCCATTAATCTATCTAGATAAACAAACTCTCATTAAATTTATATATCTACTCAATACCTCTTAACAAGATATTAATAAGCCTTTCTTTTGTGCTCAATGTATCAACACATAATTATGGGGCTTTTCTTGGAAGAAAACAAAATTTTTGTTCTAATGTTTAAGGTTAACTTCCTTAGATTGGGATTATTTTTTTTGTCTCTTTTTTTTCTTTTTTATATATATATATACATATAACTTAAAACACTATGTATCTTTAACCCATGTAATGGGCTTTCGGCTAATGACTCCCAGAGCAGTTGGTCTTAGGGCATTAGGTGTTGAGACACGCCTACGAGCTTACTAACTTGGGTCGCAGATACTGATATGTAGATAGTGCAATGTTTGATTCCCTTAAGCTTTTCTCCTCAACCCATGTAACAAGCTGACACGACGAAAAGATTGATGTCTTCTCCCAAGTGCAGGAGTGTCGAAGTAATAAATAACCAGGCAAGACCGGGGTCGAACCACAGGGAGGTTATTTGTACAAATTATAAATAACAATAATACAACAACAACAACAACAATAATAATAATAATAATAATAATAATAATAATAATACTAATAATAATAATAGTAGTAGTAGTAATAATAGTAATAGTAATAAAGAAAGAGAAGAAGAAGATGATGATTAGAACTTGGAGATGGAAAATTAATGTAAGGATTAAACAATAATAATAACAAATGTCAAGGTTAGAGGTTCCACTAATGGTATATTAAACAAGTATAGTATAAACTCTTATTATTGAATTGGAAGCCACACACAAAGGAGGTTCCAATCAGATTATATATTGTTAACATGATTACATTAGTTATCTTATTCAATTAATGCTAATACTTGTAAATCTCGTCAAGCATTCATGATTATAACTTATGTTAACAACAAATCAAGTTCCTTTCATAGCACAGGTGTCGGTTATACCATACATTATGGGCTATGAAAGTGCCAAGCATTTGTTGTACCAAGTGTTATACAACATAAATCAAGATTAGTCATTTAACAAGCAAAGTATTAAAGAGTGAACTAGATAACAAATATAAAACATGTTACTATCAAACATTAAAGTCCATATTAAGTTTACATTATACTTATTCTTACACCAAGATAAACAAAATAAGAACATAAAAGTTAACTAAGTAAAGGAAAGGAAATGAAAGGCACAAACTTAATATTAATGAAAGCAAAGCATAAACATTACAAAAAATACAAAGAGAGAAAGGAAGAGCATGATCTTGATCTGGAAACCAAGATGCCTAAATGCATGGCAAATGCCTCCTTTTATAGGCCAAAATTGGGAACTATTGATTTGATGACTAATTGATAAGTGGGTTGCCAACTTTTGACTTGGTGACAATCCTTATCTTCTCTTGTCTGCCCAAAACGTCATTGATAACGTCAAAATGGGAGCCAGTTGTAAACATGAAAGTTGTAGGCAATTGTCTCAGCTTTCTTGTGTAAACAATTCAGCTCATTTGGTCTTCTAGAACTCCAGATATGGCCAAAATACCGAACAGTGCTCGGGCTGGAAGACAGATTCGGGCTTCTTTGTTGTTGCTACTATTTGGACTTGATAATGGCCTTTTTATATCTTGGGCTCCATATGAAAGTTGTAGGCCTATGTCTTACCTTTCCATCCATATAAATTGGACCTAAATCTGAGATCTGTAGCTCCAGATATGACCCAATTACCGAACAATGTTCTGGTTTGGATTGCACCGACATCTCTTTTCTAAGTTTGGCCATCTCTTTATCCTTGCAATTTAAGTTCTTCAAGTCATCAATCAGTCATTTCATTTATGTGATAGGCCTGCATTAACAATAGACATTTACCACAAATTATAGGTATCTTATATTATTAGATACATTATTATAAAACATATTTTAGTTAAGGAGTTATTGATATTTTAAGTGCAAAATGATGATATAAAACCATGATAAAAATGCACTTTTAAGTACTAATCACAAGCGTTGGGTCAATAGCTCGCAAGTCAGTTGACTTTAGGGTATTAGGTGTTAAAACACCCCTTCGGGCTTAATTGCTTATGTTAGAGAGGCTACAAAACCACACTTATTTACATTTTTATTATCAGCATTTTTTTTTCTTTTTTTTCCTTCTTTTTTTTTAATTATATACTATCCCTTTTTCTTAGTTGTTACCTTTAACAAAAGAACATAAATAATATAATAATCCAATATGCAACCCACAATTATATGTTAAAGTGTGTGTGTGTGTAAATTAAGGTTTAAGAATACATGTTAAATAAGTATATGAGCAGAATTAAGTGATAACAATGCGAGAGTTTGTAAACCTGAATATTTCAAGAAGTATTATAATAGACCTTGTTAAGAATGGTTACTAAGATGCGTCTCAAGAGTCACTTTAACAAAAGAGCTCCTTTACTCTGTCATCCTAGTAACAACAATTATGCACATGCGATTCATGGAGGGATCAATTACAGGAATGAAAGATTGTAGTTGGTCAATCAATTGTTCAGTAGTAGTAGTAGAGATTATGATTTGTGGTGCAGAAGATGTTAGAAATTCCTGTTCCACAGCATGATCAAGAAAAGACAACAACTTATCATACTAACCATTAACATTTAACAAACCTATGGATTTATGGTGAATGTGTAGTTGAGCCCAAGAGGAAATATGAAAGACCTCTTCCAATGTGCTTAGACCACCTGGTAAAGCAATGAAGGCATCAACATGGTTAAACATTGCATTCATTCGAGCCGACATTGTGGAGACCTGAAGTTCCTCTCCAATTGTTTTTCCAATGATGTCCCCTTGTGCTAAAGCTTCGGGGACAACCCCCAAAACTTGACTACCTCCTAAAAATGCAACTATTGACACACCTCCCATTAACCCAAGACTGCCTCCCCCATACACTAAATGAATCTTTCTCTCAGCTAGCACTTGACCAAGATGATTTGCTGATTCTAAAAACTACTTTTCTTTCCCAGGACTAGATCCACCAAAAACACAAATATTTCTTATATGATGACCTGAGGAACTTGCCATTTCTACACACTTCTATAGTTGTTGAATGTATGGATTGAGTAGAAATGAAAGGAAGGAAGAGAGGGTTTTATAGATGAGAAATTAGAAAGGCAATCATACCACCTATATATAGGCTAGTTGGAGTCTCACACACTCTCTCTCTCTTTATTTATTTTATCTATTTACTTTTGAAAAAGCATGTGTATGTATAGGTAGTTGTGATTGTGGCTCACATCTTCCCTTGGTTTTACGTCCATGAACGACTTAAACGCCCTCTATGGGTCGGGGATAGGCTTCCCATCCAGTTTTCTTAAAAACTGACAAACAAGGTCTTTTTTAGTCATATTTCCAAGACTAAGTCGATCATGTTCTTTATGAAATAGTGGCCATAAATCATGAATTACACGATGCACATCTCCACTAGGATGCATCTCAAGAGTAAATAGAAGATTATCTAAAGACTCCTTACTGAGGCCATCCTTAATGAATTGTATTTTATCTTCACAGTTTATAGATACCATTCCTAAAGAACGACATTGTGTATTACAAGTCCATCTAGCACATCAATGACAGACTTTCAGTCGTTTTGCACGATGTTTCTTTGCAAAAGTGCTTTTACCTGTTCTAGGCATGTGTGAAATGAAGGAGTTAGAGGACTCACATGATAATCGAACCTTTGCTTCAATGAACCAGCGAATATCTTCAGGAATTCCATGATTCATTAACAATCTCAATCTTGCACATCTAGCACGGTAAATTTTTGTAATCGTATTCTGAGGCAGAACGGGAAAATACTTTTTCAATTTTTCAAGATTAGTGTCCATTTTCAAATGAGAATTGGAAGAGAGATTCAAAGAATTGCACAAATATATACACAAATATCAGTTATTGTGGGAAACTGAAAGAACCGACTTAAGTCACGGAGTACCGTTGTCCGCCATTTGACCGGGGTGAGAGAAACTTGCAAAAATCACTCAAAAAGAAATAAAAAAAAATAATCAATCTTTATATA